TATTTTTATACAAGAAACAGAATATATTTTTAATATCTGTTTGGAAGGAGTTAAAAAGTTATTCTCCTGTTGTTGTTTATTCATTAAGTCGTGTCTGACTCTTCGTGACTCCATGGAGGAGAGCACGCCAGGCCCTACTGTCTTCCATGGCCTCCCGGAATTTGGTGAAATTAATGTTGGTCGCTTCGATGACACTGTCCACCCATCTCATCCTCTGTTGTCCGCCTCTCCTCTTGCCTCCACACTTTCCCAACATCAGGGTCTTTTCCAGGGAATTTTCTCATGAGGTGGCCAAAGTATGGGAGCCTCAGCTTCTGGATCTGTCCTTCCAGTGTTTTATCTATCCCATTATTTCTGATCCATTTTGGATGGTTTGAGGCAGGGGCACAGAAAGGTACATTCATGAAGAGAGACGTGGTCGTTGAAATAGCTTGGACTCAGACGGCTGAGAGCTTTATACTGTAAGTTAGAAACAGCACTTGGAATTGCACCCAGAAGCAGTTTGGCATCCAGTGTAGTTGCTGATCTAGATATTCGTTTGTTTTTAGGTTCTGTGTGTAAGGATTATTATTATTATTGGTGGAGGAATACTTCATGCTATGAGCCCCTCATCCAGGTGGATGGGCCATGGGATGGCTGCTGTGCCCTGCAACTGATGTGACAGGCATGCCTCCTTTTTTTAGAGGCTCTAACAGCCATGTGGGAAATAGAAATTCAGCCTATCTTGTTGCTCTGTAAATGTACCTCAGTGCTGGGAAAACCCCACCATATTGATCTCTGCCTGATAGGACAGAGAGGGACTCCCATGCTGGCGGGTGACATAAGAAGAGGGGGAGAGGGCTTGGTTGGGGAGAACGGATGTCCTTAAGCTTCTCAAGAGATCATTTGAGGTCCCAGGAATGACCCAGGTTGAAGAAATCTCAGCTGCCAACTTCAACGGGGCATTAACCAAGGTCCCTCTCCCACTGGTGTTTCCAGACGTTGTGTTTGCTGATTTAATGGGACCAACCTTATGCAAAGTACTTGTGTTCTATTAATACATTGCCAACTTGTTCCCAGCGATGGCTCCAGAGCCAGAGTAGGTTTCTTGCTTGGAGTTTCAGGGGAGGCTTCCAGAGTTCCTATTTGGCTCTTCTGTGCCCCTGAAGAGTTGCCCTGGGTGGAGGGCTGATCTTCCACGTCTGCAGCACCAGCTCTTTTCTCCTGTGGGGAGCCAGGAGGTTTCAAAATTCCTAGTGACCCCTCCAAAGAACGTGAGGGAAAAGAATGTCACAGGGAGGGACTCTCACACCACCTTTTCTGGACTGGCATGCCAAAGGGCCATTTCTCCATTGGGGTGTCCCCTTGCAGGCTACCCCTCATCATCCCCCCACCAGTTGCCTGCAGCTCATGTTCTCTAGACTCACAAAGAGAGTATGGCTCAATAAGAAGCTGACGACATATACCAAGATCCAGGTCTACAGAGCCTGTGTCCTGAGCACACTCCTGTACTGCAGTGAGTCCTGGACTCTTTGTACACCACAGGAGAGGAAGCTGAACATGTTCCATATGCGTTGTCTCCGACGGATTTTTGGTATCACCTGGCAGGACAAAGTTCCAAATAGAGTAGTCCTAGATGGAGCTGGAATTTTTAGCATTACTGAAACAGTGCCATCTACGTTGGCTTGGGCATGTCGTGAGAATGGCTGAGGGTCGGATTCCAAAAGATCTGTATGGAGAATGAGTGCATGGAAATTGCCCCCGAGGGCGACCACAGCTGCGATACAAGGCGATCTGCAAACGGGATCTGAAGGCCTTAGGAATAGACCTCAACAGATGGGAAACCTTGACCTCTGAGCGTTCAGCTTCACGGTCTCTCACAATTTGAAGAGACCCTTGTACAGCAGGCTGAGGCCAAGAGGCAGTCCCGAAACAGCAAAACCAAAGAGCTGGACGGGGGATAGATTGTATTTGTCCTCAGTGTGGAAGGGATTCTTTTGTTGACTATGAGGGCTACTCCATTTCTTCTATGGGCTTCTTGCCCACAATAGTAGATATGATAATTGTCTGAATTGAATTCACCAATTCCCGTCCATTTTAGTTCACTAACGGCCATGATGTCAGTGTTTATTCTTGCCGTCTCCTGTTTGACCACTTCCAGCTTACCAAGGTCCATAGATCTTACATTCCAGGTTCCTATGCAGTATTTTTCTTTGCAGCATCGGACTTTCCTTTCACTTCCAGGTGCGTCCGCAGCTGAGCGTCCTTTCAGCTTTGGCCCAACCACTTCATTAGCTCTGGAGCTACTTATACTTGTCCTCCGCTCTTCCTCAGTAGCATGTTGGACACCCTCCGACCTGAGGGTCTCATTTTTCACCGTCATATCTTTTAGCTTTTTGTTTCTGTCCATGGATTTTTCTTGCCAAAAATACTGGAGTGGTTTGCCAGTTCCTGCTCCATGTGGATCACGTTTAGTCCGTATTCCTCAGTAGCATGTTGGACACCCTCCGACCTGAGGGTCTCATTTTTCACCGTCATATCTTTTAGCTTTTTGTTTCTGTCCATGGATTTTTCTTGGCAAAGATACTGGAGTAGTTTGCCAGTTCCTGCTCCATGTGGATCACGTTTAGTCCGTACTCTCTATTATGACCTGTCTATCTTGGGTGTCCCTGCATGGCATAGCCCATAGCTTCTCTGAATTACTCAAGCCCCTTCCCCACAACAAGGCAGCAATCCATGAAGGGGGCAGCAATATTTGAAGGGGTTCTCCTGAAGAGTCATTTAATTTGGTCGTGATTGACAGGGTCAAAAGTTTAGTTCTCCCTTCCTGTCTCTAAGGCTTGTAGTGATGTTTCTAACATTGTTTGGAATGCTGGGGGCCAGTGAGCAGTTTATGAGAAAGTCACAGTCCTCCACTCCACTTAGAAATGGCTTTTTTCACAGTCACTATTACAGCCCCTTCTGGATTCCTTCCAAATTAAAAAAAAGTGGCTGGGATTAACCATTCTCTTTCAAGATAAGCAAGTTTGGGCTCTTTGATGTACTTGATCTGTTTTAAATCTGCAGACAGAAAAGGTCTCTGGAGGGGAAAGTTTTATGTTTAAAACATCTTAATTCGAACAAACCATGATAAAATAGCGAACTTCTATAAAGTGTGACATTTCAGTTCATTCTTGGAATCAGTTTTCCATGTACTGTCATCAGTTAAGAATATGACCTTATGCTAATCAAACTGTTTTTCCTTCTGCTCTAGTCCTGTGTATTCTAACTAGCAGTAGCTCCCATTGCCTCAGGAAGAGGACTTCCTAACTACCCTCTTCTTGATCCTTTTAACTAGGGATGGTATGACTTGAAACTGGTACCTTGGGCACAACAAACATGCTCTGCCAGTGAGCAAAGATCCTTCTGTAGGGTGCGGGTTTCTGCATGATTTGTTGTTGTTTAGTCGTTTAATCGTGTCCAATTCTTCGTGACTCCATGGACCAGAGCACGCCAGGCCCTCCTGTCTTCCACTGCCTCCCAGAGTTGGGTCTTCCATTCCAGATTCCTATGCAGTATTTTTCTTTGCAGCATTGGACTTAGACTTTAATCATTAGCAAGTGCTTAATACTCAGTGTTACTTCTGTAACAGTGGATCATGAAGTATCAGAGCTAAGGCATAAAATTTGGGAACAACGTTGCTCATATTACATGCAGAAACCCTCCATATAACCACTTACATCTATTTAAATATTTATAAAATTAAGCATGCACCAAGTTTTTCAAGATAACTACAACTTAATTCCAGTGTTCTTCTTACCCAAGGCAATTCATTTACTTTTCATCCTTACTCTTGTTTTAATTTAGTATTAATGCAAAAAGTTGAATCTCAGAAGTATACCTTTGCACATCTACTGTGCAAATTGTTAGACCATACGTGCTTGAAGCAAAGAAGTGATTTTTATAATCAGTTAAAATAATCAACCTTCAATAAATCTGAATTCAGCAATAGAAATTTGTTATACATATATACAAAAAATGGAGGTTTTGCCGAGAAGAAAAAGGTAGGACATCCACAAATCTAAGATACTTTATTAATTATTGCACAAATTAATAGTTTAGTGTAAATGCAAAAGAATCACTTGAATGAATTTTTCCCCATGCAGTTTTTGTCTTTAAACTGAGAAGTGACAAAACATAAGCAATTGATAAAGTCCACGTATATCACTTGATAAAACAAGGCTATTCTAAAACTGGGAGCAAAAGTAGTTCAAGTAGAAAAAGAATGGTTGAGATGCTTTTGAAATGACTACACCATCCATAAGAGAGAAAGCAAGCAAGGAAAAGAGATCCTTGCTCAAAGCAGCTACAAACTCATTTATTATTGACCCTTGCATAGTTAGCCTTGTGATCATTCCTATGTAAAAAATAGCTAATTAGAAAAAAAAATCTAGCCCTAATGTATTATTTAGTTACACTGAATTTCAAAAGCTCTGTTTTTGTGTCAGGCTTTTTGAAATGATGTCCTAAAGGGAGAGGGAGAGAAAAGTATAATATACTAATATTTTGACAGAGAAAATACATCTTTATTAGGGTGCCAGAAGCGTTAAATAAACACTGAATGCTAAAAGGATTTGTTTTTCCCTCCTAGTTTGAAGATCGAAGGATCAATAGTATATACATAATTTGATAGCCTCTTTCTGAATACATTAGTAACATGAGACTATTGAACTTTGTATGTAGGCAAGATATGTTTAAAGTCTGGCTTGCTTTGAGGTTTTTAGAAAGGATAAAGCATTAAAACACCACACTGTTCTCATGCAATGATATCTTTGTTGTATGCAATGGAAAGGACATGCAGCATAAATGCTCGAAAATTTAGGTTATTTCCAGCCTACCTGATGTGTTGTTTGAATAAAGCATCCCAGATTTCAGAGTGAAGCCACGGTGAGAGAAAACCATCTTTCTGCTGGCTCTGGTCCGACAGTGCACATGCAACTTACAGCAATGCTTTTAATTGGACTCTGATCCAACTCTCACAGGTGTATAAAAAGGATGCTGCTGGGAAGCTCGGAGATGTCAGCCTCAAAATGTCAGAACAGGAGAAGGAATTTGCTGGGAAGACAGCTCAGTATCAACGAGAAATGAAGCATCTCCAGCGGCTGTTGCAAGAGAAGCAGGAAACACTCGATGAAGTGCTGCAGCAGAAAAGGTAAGTCAAGCAAAGCCTTAAACAAACCAATTAGATCTGATTGGTAAAAGGAGGACCTGTGCAGAATATATTCTGCCTGAGGGCTCCATTTGGTGTGTTCTAACACATATCTGCCTCTCTGCTGGATTGAAAATAGCAATTTCCCCCTGCTGCTCAACTGGCTCCTCTCAATCGACTCTTTCTGATTTCCTCCCCTAAACCCCATCCTGAAGTCCTGGAAGGAAGTCATTAATGCCTAGTACTCACAGCTGACCTGGCAACTCCCTGCCTTTTTTGGGAGAGAAGCAAATGCACAGAAGCTGTTAACTTGACTTCAGCTTCCAGTAATTTTTTTCCAAAGTAAATTGCTGGTGTTGCACATGTTGATTTAATTGCATCTGCTAGCAAGAACTGATCAAGTCCCAGACTGACAGTTTTCTGACAGGCAAGTGAGAACAGATAGAAAAAGAAACATCTCACACAGCTAGAGGACTTTGACCCTGCAGTTGTACAAGTCTTGGTTGGAGCATAGTTCTCTGTGTTGTGATCATTTCCATGGAGTTATGCTTTCCCCCTTTTCTGTCATTAGAAAGTTCCATAGAGTTCTTTTCACTACCCATCAAACAATGCAGAAGATGTTGATTAAGCTGTTGCCTTTGTGGTCATCTCAATCACTTGAGATAAAATAATGAAAATTAGAACTTGAACTGTGTGCCGTTTGTGTCAGTGATGCCAACATTCACATCAGAGGATAAATAGTTATATGCCCTTTTAGAAAAGAAGAATCCAAGTTGCTTCAGTGTGCTTAATGGAAAAAAATTGGCCCATGCACATTGATTTTCTTTTTTGTATAACCAGTATGTACTCGGACTTCAGACCACCTAATCCCAGCAGCTCAGACATCCTTCCAACCTCATATATGGCAGCCCTGGTTCTAGTATCCTTTGGTTTTTCAGTTCCTCTAGAAAACAGTATTAAAACTTCTCCCTCCACTTCTCTTACCTCTCACTCTGAAGAGCATACAGTGGGCCCTCGACTTACAAACAGCCCTAGTTACGAACATTTTGGGTTACAAACCCAATCTCATCACAAGTAGTACACCCTACTTGCAAACGCGGATCGGGTTACGAACCCAAAAGGCAGGGAGAAAGGGTGGGAAATTCGAATTCCCTGCCCTTCCTGCCTTTGGAGCTTTCGAACTTCCCGCGCTTTCTCCCTGCCTTTTTGGCTTCGGAAGAAAGCCGGGCAGCTGGTGAGAAATCGGCTCCCTC